CCAGGCGTAAAAAAGTGGACCGCACCCAGAGGGCCGTTTAGTCCGGAGAATCAAATTCAAAACCGACGAAATTTTAGCTCCTGGGACCAAAATTTTATTCGTGGCGATGAAATAATTTGGTCTAGATGACTTAATTTGGTTGGTGCGACTATATTTATTGAAAATTGTACAAGAAGACTAAACGTCTTATAGCTGTACACACCCAGAAGACCGTTTAGTCCATATAACCAAATTCAAAACCGACGAAATTTTAGCTCCTGGGACTAAAATTTTATTCGTGGCGATGAAATAATTTGGTCTAGATGACTTAATTTGGTTGGTGCGACTATATTTAGTTAAAAATAGGGTTACTAAATTTTAGTCAGTTTTAGGAACTAAATTTTGGTTCTTACAACCTTGATTTACACTGTAAAGAATATGTATGGGAAAAATCCCATAAATGTGTATGAAGCAAATTACATACACAGTGTGTGGGATTTTCCCCACACGACTGTGTGGGAAAAATCCCATACGCGTGTGGTAGATCTGCTACACACGTATGGGACTTTTCCCACACAGTCGTATGGGAAAAATCCTACCCCCGTCTTGCAGATCTGCTGCACGCGTATGGGATTTTTTCTGTACGACTGTGAGGTGTAAATCCCATACGCGTGTGGTACTTTTGCTCGACAAGTGTTGAGCTCGTGCAACACAGATGTATAGGGTAAATATCACATAGTTGTGGAAATTTTGCTAGGCTGATGTAGCCTTTTGCACATAGAATAGTGTTGGCCAAAGCCCATCTGCCTGTGGTCATTCCCCTATGCACACGCTGCAGTTATGACTCAAAAGTTTGTGTAGATTGTTATGCCCTTTGTTTCCATTAGCGAAGGTGTGGGTCGTCCTGAATCATCCAGAAGAAAATGTATGAAAAGAAAAAAACTTGTAGATAAAATTTCAGTTTTATTGAAAATTGGTTTTCAAGGGATCTCAATAATTTTGTACATGATTTAACAGCTTTGGAAGTCCTGTAAACAATACAGAATAAATAAAGAGAAGATAAAAAACCTTTGTGTTGCATAATTTGATTTCAAACGTATACCCAGCACACACAAAGCAAAATAGAACATTGCTACTCAATAAAAAGTTGATGCTCAATAACAAGTCTCGTTTTAAAATATAGTTATTGCACAATAAAAAATTATTGGAGAAATCTGAAATGGAAAAAAGTTAAGATAAAATAATAAAATGTTAGCAATAAAAAGAAACAAGTTAATCAAATTTAGAAACTTACCATTAATAGGACGCACGGATGCATTCTAACAACCTGGATCAGTCAGGTTGGGTAAGAATCCCTTTGCAGACATTCTACACAATATTTTGTGTCAGGTTAAAAAAGGAATCACTGTGGACAGAATGAAATATTGTGATAAAAGGCTAGAGTAAACATTGCACTGAAAATCCATGTGGCTGAACTGTTACTCACCAAGCAAAATAAAAGAAACTCATTAGTGCTCTAAACTAACTGTCTGCAAAATTGAAAAATGGTAGAATGAACAATATTGCATTAAAAAGACTAATTTAGATTTAAAAACTCACCATCCATAACATGCATCCTTGTCATGTTCATCATTTTCACATAAAAACTATCAACTTTAGCTATGGTCTTTTTAACCATTGGGTCCACGCTATTAGTCGCTCTTCGCTTATCACCTGGTGCCTTCCTGGTACCTTGCACAGGATTTATTTTAAAGATGGCCCTAAGATAAAATAAAGAAAGCAAAGTAGAGAAGTTTGAAAGTATGGAAAATCTACATATATTGTGATAATAACCTTTGCATATACTCTAGAAACCTTCTTCCCTTTTCTGGATAGTGGTAGTTAAAATTGTAGTAGGATAAAAATAGCAGCTTGAAGGCTTCTAGAGCATTGTTTGTACTAGTTATGATGTCCCCCTCACAGGCAATGAAGCACATACAATTGGAGTCAAACCATGACTGTCCTGGAAATAAACCATTTCAAAGTTTAAAAAAACAAAAACAAAACAGTTAGGAACATACAGAAGCCCAACCATGGTAAACAGAAGAGGGGAGAGCATACCTCTGATTATGAGGAGCGGCCGGTCCACTTCAGCCATGGGTTTGACTTCTTCAACATTGGTTCCGCACTGCAACAACACAAGAAATGTTACTTTCATTAAATGGCAGTTAAAAAAATATTCCATAAAAAGATTTAGGAAGTACTCACATCAACCAATTTAAATAGGCAATTTAAATCTTCTTTTAAGTATTGGACCAACATAATAAATGCTGCTATCAAGAATGGTTTCCGGCTATCCATAAGTCTTGAAGACGCTTCGGCCTCCTCTCTCACTACTTTGATTTCAGATAAAGTTTCCCGATTGCTAGAAGTTTGATTTGTAGACGTGCAATAGTCAGCTAAAAAATTATAAAGACTTAAAAGCCGATTGTGGGAGCCAGCCCACAGCGTCCTTACATCCTTTCCCAACAGCATAGTGCTGTGTGCCTGGAAAGGATTAGGAGATTGAAGGGCGGGCCACTTTGACAACACACTGTGTATATCTCCTTTTCTGAAATTAATCTGGTGGCGCTGGAGCCAATATGACTTCTCCAGCAACTCCAGAAGTTCAGTTTCAGAAGAAGTATCCGCCAATTGTGTCCTCAGTCTCTCTAGGGTAGCTTCATTTTCATTAGCAGGTAAATGCGGTTGCCACGCAGCACATCCATAAGAGTCGAGTTTGTCATTACATATGTGAGGCCACTTCGGATCATCTTCATCCTCATCTTCAGCTTCATTCCTTTTTCTTTTGTTTTTCTTTGCTTGAGGCTTAATGAAGTTTACTCGCTCATAGAGGCTGTTAAAGAATGATGCTTTGCCATCACTAAGTAAGTCACCATCAGCATCTCTAATCTCGAATGGTTTGGGATACTTCTCAAAAAGATCATTAGTTAATGATACACAGGTTTTTCTGGAGAAATCATTCCTAGCTGACATGTGAGCAGCAAGGTTGTGAAGGATTGATTTTCTCTGACGAAGATCAATGCATCCTGACTCGAGATGTTCCTTAAAATCATCAAGTACTCTCCATGGAAAATTGCCTCTAGCATTTGAGAGACGAGGAGTGGAAACTGATGGTGATGAATGGCGTTGAGAAGCAACGGTAATGTTCGGAGTAACTGCAATCAAAGGTCATAATGAAGGAACCTTTCGTACAGAACAGGCACTTGATTAGTGTAAAATAACAATATAGTTACCATTAATCACGTTTTCATTGGTGTCCATCCATTCCCCAGTCTTTGGAACTAGAGTTAGCTCAGTCAAAGGAGGGAGATGTGTCAGCACTTCGTCGTCCTCCAAAATTGCTCCATTGTCCAGAACTAACTGTAAGCACCAAGTTAAACATTCGGATAAGCTACACTGCCAAACCAGGTTAAGGCTAAGGCACAATCAATGCCAAACTCACCTTGAACTCCCCTGGCTCAACCTCAAGCCTCTCAATGGCTCTGTTGATGATATCGTCAATGGTAGGTTTGGTGACAAGAATTTTGGTTGGCTTATCCTTCACTTTGAGGGTAAAAGTAGGCACTGCTGTAGGCATCTTGGCTGAAACAAAGACAAAGTTAGCTTTCTAACCTTAACATGTTTGCCACAGAATTGCAAAACAAAGAAAACTTTATTAAATCAAGTGTAACAGACCACATAACCTTCAAATTGTGAAGGAAAGTGAACAAGAAAACCAAACTATGTTAGCCTCCTGACCTTCACACGTTTGCCACAGTATTGCAACTCAAAGAAAACATAATTAAAGCAAATACCACAGACCAGATAACCTCCAAATTGTGAAGGAAAGTGAACAAGAAAACCAAACTAAAAACGAAGGAAAGTTATCTAGAATCGCAGTGTGGTGCTAAATTTAGGCTTTTGATTAGGCACACTCAATTAACGGAGGACAGAATCATTCGGACAAAGTAGTAAGGGTCGGAATAATAAACACACAAGTACGAAGAAGGAAGGTGGGAGCTGAGACAATTATTCCAAAACTAATGAAACTAACCTTACCTTGTTTGTGCGCTTATTTTTTACACGGTTTCGCCAGACACAACAGCTGTTGAACACAATGCCTATCGGACGGGCCAAGCCTAAGCAGCACGGCAGCACGAAACTAAATTGACACTGACGGACCAAACAGACGGAGCTGGAGAGGTGACTGAGGCAACAGCTGATTTCGCAGCTCGAAATGAAAAGCCGGTCGTCAACTGAAGGGGGAAGAGAGAACGCAGCACATAAATGAGAGAGACAGCCAGAGAGAGGAAGTACTACCAACCTCAAATCTTACAAACTCAACCAACAAAAGTAGGACACATGCCGAGGTACATTCGCTTCTTTATCAAAACGAGTATTGACAGCCTAATGAATACTTTTCAGATCGATATTTGTCTAAAATCACGAAAACAGGAGTAATTTGCAGCATGAGGTACTCGCCGTCAGATTGGCATGAACACTGACCTCTCTGGACGAAAAACAAACACTCTTGTCTGCTGTGCTTGTTTAACTTAAAATGATTAAAAAAAAACAATAAAGATATCCGAATCTTCGCGCTGCTACGAAGTAATGATAAAACTGAGACGATCCCTCTCTGCTATGAAGTACACAGGACACGGCGAACAATGGTTCTACAGCCAAGAAACTCAGCTTGGCCGCAGCCTCGCTCTGCACAGTCTTAGACATAAAACATCTGTGGAGTGGTTGCTACTACTTGTACTATTATTAAGAGGGTGGGTAAGATTTCATATTCAAGTAAATTTCCTCCCTGTAACTATAGCCTATTTTACTTTGCTCATAAAGTTTCTCTTGCAGCAACATTTAAAATTAGAATGCTAAGATTCAAAGCGAAGGGTCGACAAGTTGTTGGATTTCGCAAGCTGTTGTACAAGTTTTGCAACGCGTCTCAAGTAGTGATGCTGTGGTCAAGGCTTTCCATCTGGTTATGCTTTACCCAATTTAACTAGGCTATTAAAGTTGGTCACACTTCAGTAATATCGAGGTGGGTATGGTTTTATTTTTAAGTAAATTACCTCCCTGTAACTATCACCAATTTAACTCGTATATTTTCCTCTTACAGGTTACAACTTTATCATTTATAATTAGAATACCAAGATTCAAAGCGGAGGCGGAGGGTCAAACAAGGTAATGCTTCACCTGCTTTACATTCCCTTAAAGCTAGAAACTGGTCAATGATAAATTGAATGTTGAATGGATACTTGAAGGAGTTACCATCCATGACTCTCTTAAACAAAATATTTTTCATTTTAATAACAAAGTTATTTATTGATCTAGTTCAGATCACATATCGGAGGGGGTGGGAGGGAAAGGGAATTACTCCTCCCAAACCCAACCAAGCAAGCTGTTTCCAAGGAAACCTTTCAAAAGCATTGCAATGCCTAGTGAAAATGAATTGGACCGGGCATGTAATAATTTTATCGATGTAAAGTTATGGTTAAAGTATTTTGATAACAAAAGTTGTCAATACCAGACTCTGATCATAGCAAAACTGCTTTCGTTTCAGGAAGAAATTGTCAAACTGTCGCGCCTGATAGCACAACTACAGAAAAAACGTACCATGTTCGAAAGAATGAAAGAATGGCCATCCAATGCAGGCGGACAAAGAGGTAAGCACAGCCACTATCATCAGCTCCACACTCGGGCTCTTCTTGGCGCCGAGGTCGCCACGCTCCTCCGGCTGGCCGAGCGAGGAGGGGTGCTAGAAGTAGTGACTCCGGTGACCTCAGTTCATGGCAGCCTGTGCCCCCCCCCCCCCTTTCCGACGTACTCCTTGGCCTCCGCCATGCTCCACCCGGCTCGGCGAGGGCCAGGAGCGTGCGCTCTCCGACACCTTCAACACCTCGATCGAGGTCTTCTTGGCGAGGACCTTGCCGGCGGCGCAGGGCGCGCGCCCGGCGCCATCACCAGCGCCACGATCAAGAACTCCTTGGCGTCGAGGTCGTGGCGTCGCTCCACGCTGCCCGCCGCGCCGCCCGCGCGGCATAGCCGGACTTGGAGGCGGCCAGGGCCATGGCCGCGCGCGCGCGCCCTCCGACACCATCAGCACCACGATCAAGGTCTTCTGGGCGAGAACCCCGGCGGCGGCGAGGTGCGCGCGCCCACCGCCTCCGTCAGCACCACGATCAAGGTCTTCTTGGCGAGGACCTTGCCGGCGGCGCAGGGCGCGCGCCCGACGCCATCACCAGCACCACCATCAAGGTCTCCGTGGCGTCGAGGTTGTCGCAAGCCTCTGGCCGGGCGACTCCGTGGCGTCGAGGTTGTCGCAAGCCTCTGGCCGGGCGAAGAGTGTACGGGCGTAGCAGTGACCTCTCTGACCTCGAATAGCTAATAGCTGTCCTCCTCTTCCCCCTCCCCCTCCCCCGCGGGCGCTCCTGCTCCATGGTCTTCTCGGCCAGGGTGGGCAGCGCAATGTCCATGCTCAACCCTTGTATTGTTGAGTACTTCTGAGATTGTTTTCAATGTCTTGTTTTGTTCCCAGCATGATTGACTGCTCTCCCCCTTCAGTCCTATCTATCCATCTAACTTTAAGATGTTCTTTGTATCTTTATAATTTATAGATAAGGAGATAAAAAACTTTTCTAATGTTTGTTTTTTTTCCTTTTTTGCAGCCGGCCCTGTGTACTATCCAAGCCTGCGAAGATACTTTGGGCGTAATTGAGAGTGGCATTTGTGTTTGCTGCAGTAAATTCAGGAGTTGCAGAGAAGAAGTGAGAGTATGTGTTGTGATTGAAACTTTCATTATGTACAGTTAAATTAAAAGTATTTGGTAATGCATCACAAATTTATTAAAAACTTTTGTCATTTAAAAAAAAACAACTGTAACGTTAATCGGCAATATCGGCAACGGCAACCTTTATCAAGACGGGATACTTTCACCTTACCCACGAGCGCTTTTTCAGTTCAGAAAGCTGTGGTTAAAATCAAAAACAACGAAAATCAGCAAATTATGCTAGATTCACCATTCAAATTTTGCTGAATTCGTAATTTTTGCGTGCGCGAAAACAAGCACATTTCATATTTCAGAGCGTTCTGGTTCAAACTTATAATTTGATCAGACTGAGACCACTTCTCAAGTGGACGGGCCATGTGGCGCGCGGTGCCGATTGAGCTCTAAGAGGGCAGGGGTTGGGGCGCGGGGCGCGAGGAGCTGCGCTGCGAGCCTCAAGGGGCTGAAGTGGGGGTCGGCCGGCTCGTTATGACCCGGCGCGGGGCGCAGCTTGAAGCAAATGCTGTAAATGTTTACAACTCCAGCAGAGCGATGACAGGAGACTGCCACCGGGCTTGGCACGGACAGCCGGAACGGACGGAAAGCCTTCCCCCACAACCTAATATTATAGCAAGACTGATCTTTATCAACGCCAATCGGCTTATCAAAACTGGAACTTGAACGTCAATCGGCAATCTTTATCAAAACTGGATAACGAGAACCGGCAATATTTATCAAAACGGGAAACTTTTACCTTCGGGTAGAGACAGACCACAAGGGACTGTCTAAAAAATAGGTGACATGTGCTTTTTCAAATTTTGTTATGAAGTGAACAAAATATTACTTTGAAATACAATACAACTATATCAAGAGGTCTTCATTTCTTGAGCAACTAAACAATGTGTGTAGACATGGTGAGGTACTGGAGAGAGGAGTTTATCTGGACTTATACACTTGTATTTGTTGTCACCGTCTTGTAGCTCAAAGAAACGCATTGAAGAATTGAATTCAGTTTGTTTCACTTCCACAACCAAGTGAGGTCCATGGTCATCGACAAGCAAAAGCACTATACGACCCATTACAACATTAACATTGTAAGCCTCTTGTCTCAGAACAACAACATCTCCTTTCTTGTACGTACAGCCTTTGTAGCAGAAAGTATTGCACTCATAAATATCACCAATTAAATTTTTCTCATACATTGCCACTTGCAGGTTGAAATTGTACAAATTAATATTTAAAAGATTTTTTTCAGCAGGTAAAAAGGTTTCATAATCCTCTATTTCACGTAGCAGTGCCTGATAGAGCTGATGCTTCTCAGCAAGAGAATAAGTCACATTTTTAAAATTCTTTAAAACTCTCATTATTCTTTTGAAGTAGGAATGCTTTGACTCAAAGCGGAGGGTCCAACATTTCATTAGATTCCCAAGCTCCTTTAGGAGTTTTGGGAAGTGCGTCAGTAGTGATGTTTTGGTCGAAGCTTTACATGGGGTAATGCCTTCACTCTTAAAGTTAGATACTCTCCAATAGTCAACTGTAAATGTGCAATAAATGAATGATGAATAGCAGGTGCTGTGACCATTTCCATAATCTCAATCATCTTGAGGATGGCCAACCAAGCAGAATTTTCAACATCTTTTATTTTATCTCCAATAATTAGGGGGAACAATCTTAAGAGGGTCCAGACCTGCCAAGCTCCTCCCACTACTTTTTTGGCATCTTCACAAAGAGGTACTGGCCTATCCCTCAAATCAATAGAGGAGTACTTGAAGTTTTCAATTCTTGTCTTTAAATTTGCATAAGTGAACCACCCCTTTTTCTTTACGAAAATCTGCGTGAAAAGTGCCAAATCATAAGCAATTACTCCCTCAGTAAGATCATGTCCCAGACATGGCCCTAGTCCTGGCAAGCAGACATGGAATGCAGCAAGCTGATTAAAAAGTGAATCACTTTTAATACCCTCATAGCTCTTATTAGAGGTAGATTCTAATTTTAGTATAGAATTTTTGTAGCTCTCTACTGTCCTTTTGGGGTGTGACTTCTGTAAATATACAAGTGGTTC